TTTAAGTTTTCAAACTAGAGTAACATTTAAGCAAAAAACTCAAAACAAACAAAAAATAAAAATCAAATACAATCAAAATAAAAAGTATATATAATTACAACATATCATTAAAACATTTTAAACTAATATTAAAGCAATAAAATTTGTAATTTAGTTTGTTTGTGTTGAGTGGAAGTGAAAAATAATATCAATACGTTTTGGCATACAGCGCGAAAATGCAATTTGCTGCTGTTACTTGTTTGCTTGCTCTACCGCTACCTCTCGCTCTCACCCTTTTCCTCTCACATCATGTCCACCTCTACTTTTTTTCTAATTAATTAACAAAAAGTACATATCTAAGCCTTAAATAGAAATATAAACTTATTTTTTTAGAAAAAAAAAAATAGAGAAAACAATGTTCATAGTAATTTTGTAGGATAAAAAAAGTTTTGTTTGACAAAACCCAGTTCAAAGGATAAACACAGCAGCAGATACATTTATAAGGGTTACAATTTGAATAAAATTATACGTATTCTAACTAAAATCTAAGCAAATGTAAATTGTTTATGTATACACTTTAAAATTAAGCCACTCATTGATTGTGAGGGAACTAATTTTTGCATTTTTCTTTCAGGTATTAATTTCTTTAGATAAGCATATGTATATAAAATGGTATAGCCACGCAATATTAATAATACGAATAGTTTAGTTTTTGGCGCACAAGTGGCAAGTGTTTGAGTATGTGTGAAATAATGAAGAATTCTCAAATTTCAATAAAATTCGAAAGAAAAACAATATTGTCACAATAAAAAATTCAGTTTGTAATATTAAAATAATCAGAGATGTTACAATTTTTGTAATTTTGTGCACGCATTAATTTAAAACAACGTAATTTATACTTTTTGTATAAATAAAATTTAAACGCATTTGCTCCAGACATTTTTTATATATATGTATATAAAGTATTTCACAAAGCTTTGCTTAATTTCTCTCTCAAGTTTGCTATTTCTCGCTAAGTGTGCGTGTAAATACGCACAAAAGTTTTGAATAAAATATATATTATTTTTCTTATTTTGTTGCTTTGTTGTTTTTGCTTATATTTGCTGAAATTCGCCCGTGTGAATTTCAACTATGCATGTATATAAGAACTACACTAACAATTATTGTAAATATTTTTTTAAGTCATCATACTAAGGCTATTTATAATTATAATAAAAATATCTAAAATAATAATAATAAAAATGACTTGAAAATATGCGATTATTGGTTGTGTTTGTTATGGTTGTTGTTGTTGATTTTGTATTTTTTTATTTTTGCTTTTTAAAATATATGTAAATGTATATATTTGTTATTTTATATGTTTTTTTTTTTATATAGCAATTGCCTTCCCACGACCGTAAATTCGCAGCTTACTAAGCTAAAAATACATATTTATTATTTGCTTTCTTAACTTCGCTTCATTTCACTTCAATAAAAGTCTTATAAGTATGTATACATTTACATGTTGTAAAAATTAAAATAAAACAAAAAAATATTCAAATTGAAAATTAGTTTTACAAATAATATTGATTAAAAATTGCAATAAAAATTCTTAGGTAGCTTTTTTTGTTTTTTTTTACATTATTTGTTGTGTTTTTTTACATATAATATGTATTTAATTTGTAAATATACATATAATATTAATTTTAAAAGTAGCCGTTTCTTCGTTAATATGAAATTATGAAATAAAATAAAAATAATGTTAAAAATATTGATAATACAAAAAATTACAAGAAAATATTTGAAACACGCAAGTAGCTGGTATGTTTGTTTAGTTGTTTTTCTCTTTCATTTAACATTAATGTATGTAATAAAAATAACTGCGCAAAAGCATAAACAGGGAAAATAGATATAATTAAACAAAATAAAGTAATCATTTGGGCGGTCATAACAGTGCTATTTGTTTATAAAATATTCATATTTTTTATGGAATTCGCCGCCAATGTTGTAAAAGTAAAAGTATTTACACATTTGCATTTGTTTGTGTTAGTAGTTAAATTTGTTGTTCGCAATATATGTATATGCGTGTATGTAAATAGAAGATTTAATATTGAATTTCAAGAAAAAAGCTTTCGCTTTATAACATATAGAAAGTCGGATTTAAATAAACGTTTATATATGTATGTAAGCAACGCACAAAAAAATATGTAAATATTTTCATTTGCTTTAAAAATGTAATATAGTAATAATGTAATATTTAGTATTTAAAATTGTAATTTAATAATATTTAGTAATAATAATGTCTTGGAAAACCAGCCTTCTTAATGTTGTTGTTGAATTCGTTTTCTCAATTTCTTAGTTTGTAATTGTAAAAATAATATATGTTTGTAATGTATGTATGAAGTTTTGTATTGCTTTTCCTTTACAAACCGTTTGAAGAACAAAAAATTTAAAAAAAAAATAAATAAATAAAAACAAATGCAGTTCGAGCGCCACACACACTTTTTCAAACAATGAAAATATGCTAACGCTTCATTTCGACGCCTTCATTAGATGGCAATGCATTCGTTGATGTATTTGGTCTCACCAATTTACTATTAATAAAATTGTTAAAAGTATATTTAATTAATATTTTCTTCTTTTAAATATGTTCTTGCTTGAAAATTGTATATAAAAATAATAGCAGCAAAACATAATAGTACAACTTATATACAATTTTTTTCACAACTGCATATATACATGAATGAATGTAATTAATTCGTTTCGTTATCAAAAAAAAAAAAAAATATTGTTTCCCTAATTTAAAATTATAAATGACTACGAAGCACCCTTTGCTGGCACTACATTTCGAATTGTCACTTGTCACAACATCAATAACAACCGATTCAAAAAGAGGGTGAAAACAAAAACAAGACAAATTGTCAGTATTTGTATTTAAATGCTCATTTCGATTTAATTAAATTAATTGCAGCAAATGCGATTGTATATTAAAATTAAAATTTTTGTCCCAATTATTTGTCATTATAATTTCGCTTTACGTAACGTTTTGAGTTTGTTCAAATTTTTGAAGTATTTACGCAAATGTGTGCTGCTTAATTAAAACGAAAAAGTTAAGTTAAACAATATTTGGCAGGTTGTGGTGTTAAGTTTCCGTGCAGTCAGCTTTTTTAACATAATTTTTGTCTGAATGTATATGTGAAATTATCGCCCGATTTACTATGTGCACAACACTGTATTGCCTTTTAACTAACGTATTAAATTAATTACATAATTTTTTTGATAAATGCATGTGTACATGGATATACATATACAATGTATATATATACATAAATACATCTACATTTATATGTAGGCGTGTATTGCAACAGCATAGAATTTGGCCATTAAAAACATTTTTTTTAGTTTTAAATATTATGGTAATCTGTAAATAAAAGCTCACTCGAAAAAAATAATGATTACTTTTTGTTAAAAGCTTTTGTAAATTTGTTTCTTCAATATAGCGAACTGGTATAAATTTGAAAAGCAACCAAACTTGGAAAAGAGATCAAAAACAATATGTGTATATATATGTTTGCGTGTGTAGGTGAAAGCTTGCTTTTGCTAAAATTTGAACAAGCTGGATGTACATTTTTTTTATTGATTTTTGGCGATTTTGTAATTTTTTTAAATTTGATTTTTCTTCATTTGAGATTTCAAATTGTCTAGTCGCAGTGTTGTGTTTTGGTGTTATTAGTATTTTTTGTATGTGTATGTTTGTATACTACATTTTTTTGTCTGTTTATAATTGCTATAGTTACTTTTTATCCATTTGCATTTACCCACGAAATCGTGAAAACCTACCTCCATTTAAAATAGCTATATCATTTAGTTAATCGAATAATTCGTTTTCACTGGTACATTTAAAATATGTAAGGTTATGCTACTGCATAATTTTTGTTTTTGGCCCCACTAAAAGCAATTTACCTGCTAAAATGGTCACTGCTGTCGAGTCCATTGCATTCCGGCTTTGGTAGCTGGGAATTAGTGCAGCGCGTGCGGTGGCTGTGGCAAAGCACGCTCGCCAGTAACGCCAACACAACCACCACTGAAAGCAAGCGGACCATTATTGTTGGCCGCTGCACCGACCCCACCACAAGCACCAGCGCCGTTCATCATCAACCAGAGATTTGATTTATTTTCCATTGAACGTGGCGCTGTCGTCAAGTTATGCATTTGATTGCTGTGGTTGTTATTGTGTACGATGCCAGCTGCGATGTTGCTGTTGTTAGAGTTGCTACTATTTAAAGTCTGTTGTTGTGGTGGTTGTTGCTGCTGCTGGTGTTGATAATGCGGCGCTGCATGATGGTGCTGATTATGTGGTTGTGGATGATTGTATGGCTGTTGCTGGTGATAAACGTGGTGATGATTGCTGGCATTATGACTGTTGTTGTTGCTGCTGCTATTGATGCTGCCGTTGTTCGATGTGTATCTACTGCTACTTGCAGCATTATTAACGCTATTGTTGCCAACAATGTTGCAATTGCCATTTTCATAAAGGTTAACGTTATTGCCACTGCCACCGCCGGCCATACCAGCACCAATGCCACTGGACACATTCATTGGTAATATATTTTTGTTGCAGCCAACATTAATGCTGCTATCGTTGTTGTTGTTGTTATTGTTGCTGACGCTGATATTGCTACTGCTGGTTATGGTTTTGATTTGCGATCAGTGAACGTAGAGCGTATTAAGTACCAACACATGGTGATTGTTCTTGGCCAAAGTGACTACATAACCTTCGGAAGTTATCTTTAGACCACAGCAACGTGAAACCTTTTGGGTAGTGGAAAAATTGTATATATCGATTTTTTTAGACGAGAAAAAAATTAATGATGAAATGATGATTATAGCAACAACATAACAGCCTAAATAACATAACCTAAATAATGTAGTAGTTTTCTTGAAGTTTTCTTTGCAGAAATAAATAAATTGATGCTAAAAACAGTTATAACTTTAAATACTGTGTTACCCAACACACCTTAACGTGGGGACATTCAAATTCAGATTGCAAAACACCATCGCGCGAATAGCAGGCCACATGAAAGCGATTGCCATGCGAGTCGCCAATTAAAATATCGCCTGCATTCGAGATATCGATGCCATTAGGGAAGCATGTGACCTTCTCATTACCGATGCGATACTGGAAAGTACCATCCTCTTGGAAGACAGCAACACAATGACCCTTGAAATCGCAGACATAAAAGTCATTATCTAAAAACAAAAAAACAAAAAAAGGAAATTAAAAATTATTTTTTACAAAACATTTACATAAGGCAATTAACGCATTACCTCGTATGGCAATATCGGACGGTTCGCGCATATAATCGCTGCAATCGAACCAACGCACGAGCTCACCATCCTCGGATATAACGAAAACTGTAGGCGACACGCTATCTACAGCTACAATATGACCCTTGGAGGTAACAGCCAGACCAGCGACGATATCAATGTATCTAAGCAAGTCCATAAAAACATGAGTTTAGGAATAAAAAGAAGTTTAATTAACAGTTAAGAGTGCGAATACTCACCTGATGGCGATCTTGCGCATGAAATGCCCACACTTTGAGAATATCTGCATGCGCGAGCGTTCATTGCCACGATCACATACAACGAATTTGCCATTGGTATGCATAACGGCGACTTTACGGGGATACCATAGTTGACCCTCTTCCTTGCCGGGTACGCCAAATTGGAATTTAAGCGTACCGGTTTTGTCGAAAACTTCAATGCGATGATTATTCGTATCGGCGACAATGATCTCTTCGTCTACACCCAAGCAAAAACCGTGTGGTGAATTGAATTGACCCTTAGAGGTGCCGAGCGAACCGAATTTACAACGTATCTGCATGGGTGTTGCCTTGTTGCGACCGGTGACAATGTTGGTTGTGCCCGGTGCGGCGCCAGCATGGAAATTCGTAATGGACATATCATCGACGGGTCCAGCGCCGAGTGGCCCGAGTGTTGAGAGGCTGGGCGATGTGGCTGCGGGTAGGCAGAAATCTGGTAATATACAATCAATTCCGGGTGAAGCTCCGCTCGATAAAAGCTGATTCATGTCTGTGTGAAAATCTACTTGTATTATGCCAACAATAACAACGACAACAGAAAACGAAATGACGTTGTAATTACGACGTGGTGTGGTGGGTTGGCAAACACATTGGCATTTTTTTTTTTTTTTGTATTTGTTTTTAAATTCATAATTATGTTGATTTATTTATTTATTTTTTTTATTGTAGATTGTGTGGATTGTGTGGATGGTGTGGTGGTAAATTAGGTGGAGCGGAACCAAGCGGAGCGATGCGCAAGGACGTTTGACAAATTTCAAGGAGATTTTGTGGTAATAATAATAGTAATAGTGGTACAGTGGTTGTTGTGGTGGTGGTAGTGAGTGGAAGCCATTCGAAAATCAAAATAATATGCAAGAATAAAGAAAGGATAAAAGGTAAATAGAAATCAAGAAAACATACGGAAATTAAATTATAAAATAAAAAGGTAAATAAATAACTTATGCCAAAGAAACAACGGTAATACTATTTTATAAATATGAGAAAAAACTGAACTCTAACCTAAGAAATAGTATACACATAAAAAAAAATTAATTTAGCATCATAAGTAAAATCAATTACATTTTGCTACAAATTAACTTAATCTACCGAAATCGAAGAACAAAAGTGCAACCAAACTATGAGTGGCAGGTGGTGCAGGTCGTGGTATTGGTGAAATAGTAGGCACTAGGTGACTAACGGTATCAATTAAAATGAGCGTACCCAATTTCACACACTACAATTGCAAGAGCAGCGTTTTTTTTTTCAACTGTACTTACCATTGTTATTGAGTCCCATTTTGGCAAGCGCCTGCAAATTGTTGAAAGCGCGTTGATCACCCGACAGTATGTCCGCCAATGAGATCTGTTGATTCTGTGCCGACGATGCTGGCACCACGGCCTGGTGATGACCACCAGCGCTGGCGCCGGGGCCCACCAAGGCGTCGTTGAGCGTGACATCCGGTGTGGCCTCCGTGAGGCTGGCAAGACGTGACAAATTGTACTCGAGAATACTGTTGTAAGCGCTTGGTGGCGGTGCACCACTACCAACGCCGCCCGGATTATTCGGTCCGTTCAGTCCTCCATTGAGTGCGCCATTAAGGCCGCCATTCATACCACTGCCGGCACCGCCGCCGCCGCCAGCAGCACCACCGCCCAGACCACTTAAGCCTTGGCTGAGCGTTGCGTTTATACCATTGCCTAATGGGTTGTTGTTCAAGCCAACACTCAAATTATTACCAGCGCTGTTTAGTGGATTGCCGCCAAGCGGATTGTGACCGTGGCCGTGGCCATGGCCATGGCCTTGATTGTGGCCATGCATTGGACCATGACCGCCTGTAAGCGCATTTAAGCCGTTGGCAAGGCCTGTACCTGGCAAGCCACCACCGCCACCGCCAACACCAACACAACCGACGCCATCAAAACCGCCGCGTACACCGTTTACACCATGTACTGGTTGTTGTGTTGCCGGTGGCTGTGATTGTTGTTGTTGCTGTTGTTGTTGTTGATGGGAAATTTGGTGATGCAATGGGGGTGGCTGATGTGGAGGCGAGTCCGGTGTCAACACATTCGGCATGAGGAATCCATTGCCCAATACCGAGAAGTCACCATCGAATGAGCTTTGCATGGAAGTCGGCAAAGATATTGGGCTGCTGGCGGTAACGGAACTGCCACCGGCTAGCTGACCCTGTGAGCCGCAAGTGTTCATACCGCCGCTGCGACTGCTCATCATGTTCGGTGGCATGCCCGGTAGCGTGGGTGGCGGTGTGCTCTCCTTGGGTGAGGGCGGTGTTGACTCAGTGCGGAATTTACCAAAGGTCTCCTGGGCGACCTGCTCGAATTTCTCCGCTTTGGTGTCGAAGGTAAGTGAATAGTTAATGTCACACTTTGGTGTACTGTTGATCAGGTTTATAAATTGCGAGCTGATCAACTTCTTCATGGACAAAAATTCGGCGGCATTGGCTTGATCCAGCACACGCATGGTGAATTTGCAAGTGCTATCGATTTTGCCCATCGTATTTTCGATGTGCTGCAGCAAATCCATAACTTTGAGCTCACGTTCCGAGTGTAACTTGCCCAACTCGTTTAGTGATTGATCGCGGCACTTTTCTAAGATCTTCTTGTAGTTCTGGTAGGTCTCATCAATGCGCGCGCGTGCCGAATCATGTTGGGTTTGTAGTTCAGTGAGTGCGCTAGAAAGATTCGAAGCGGCAGCATCACAATATTGCACCTGGAATCACGTAGAAGGTGAAATATATAACAAATGCCGAAAAAGGAAATGCAAAATTAATTACCTTTGATTTGGCTTCCTTCATCAGATTTTCAACATCGACACGCACTGACTTCTCGGCCATGGCGATGACATCGTAGTGATGCTCACTGCCCTTGTGATCGGCTATTAAGCAATCGTTGCACACCGGTATTTGGCAATTGAAGCAATAGTACTTGAGATTTTCAGCGGTATGGACATTGCAGAAAAGCGGCTTGTGTATGGTCAACGGCTTGTCGGCTGTGGACTTCTGCAAATCTTCGAGCTTAACCACTTCGTGATTCTCAAAGCAACGCATATACTTGTGGGCGTTGTCGCAACCGCTGCACAAGAAATTAGCACAATCGCTGCAGCGTGAAATAGCCTTCTCCTTGCTCTTGCACGAAGTGCACGACAATTGCTCCGATTCGATTGTTGAGAGATCGAGTATGTTGGTCAATATGTAATCGCAAGTCAACGATTCAATGCCTTTGGCGCCAATCTGTGTAGAAAGAAAATAACTTTGGTTAGAAATTTGGCTAATTTAAAGAATTTATTATTTAAGTAGGATAGCGGCTTTTTAACACGTTTTCTACTGCAGGCTTAAAGCCACTTTGCATTTACTCTATATTTTTAGGTGGGCAAATGATGCTTGGAAAAATTAATATAATATATTTTCAGGCGCATTTTTCTACCCATAAATATATACCAAGATTTTTGAGTTAACAAAAATTTTTTCAACTTCCATAATTTAACATGAAAAATGGAGAATACTTCTTATTATATACAGGCCATGCATTAATTTGCTTACCATAGTCACTTGTTTGCACGTGGGACACTCGATAACAGACTTCAATGGCGGCATTAGCTCACCGGCGGTTGAAGTAGTGGACGATGCCGATGAGGAATTGCCGTTCGACTCTTCAGTAAGCAGTTTCATCAGACAAGATTCGCAAAATACATGGAGGCATGAAAGCACGCGTGGTGTCACTAAACGCGAGCTGCAAGTAAAATTGTGTCCAATAAATAAATGTTAACCGCAACCAAACATTTATACTAAACTAAACACGCTTACCTGCAAATCTTGCAATTCTTATCCATACCATCGGCGCCGATCGAGCTGCACGAGTCCTCCAATGAACCGGATTCCAAGTCATTGCCCTTATTCTCGAACACCTCGCTAAACATATTGCCCGCCAAGGAGGAGGAACGCGATGAGACGCTCTTATGCTCGCTGGTAACGCTACCGTTGCAGTTGAAATCACGGGACATTGTTGTATTGCCATTACCCAAAGAGTCCGAGTCCATATCAAGCGTTAGCGAGCTGACAAGCTTTTCCACAATCGAATCAACAGCCGCACCAGTCGTCGTAGATGTGGTATTGATATTCAAAGTACCTACAGCGCTATTGCTGCCTGTTAGGAGTTGTTGTTTCTCGGCGCAAGCGGTGAGGCCGAAATCCGAGTCCAGCGCCGACAAAGTACCAACTAGCGCGTTGGCAGCAGCAGCAGCTTGAGAACCGGTAGTAGTGGTTACGTTCGAAGCGATATCAGCAGAGGTATTGGTGGTAGCGGGATCAAAGGTGGAAATGGCGGTGATCGTTGCGATTGGTTGTTCCTCGAGTGATGCCATAAGTGGCGTTTGGTTTAATAATTGGGGTTCAAACGAAATACGACGAAAATTCCAGAAAATACGCGAAAAGTTGTGGCAAAATCTACTTGCAGTTAAATGCGTTCAAGCGAAGCAGTTCGGTAGTGCTAATTGTAAAGCTTGAGGATCTCAGTAAAATCAGTTTTTGTTGTTATTATTGAGTTTACAAATATTTCAGAATCTGGTGGCAAAAACGGAAGATGATGGAGATTCGGTGATTTGTATTAGGCAAAATGCGGCAAACGCCGTTACTTCAAGATATATATATATATATATGTATTGAGGTGTATATCTAGATTTTTTCCTTTAAGCTTTTGTAGAGTTTAATTTCGTTTTTGGTTCGTCTCCTTCAGTTGTTTTCTTCTTTAAGCTGATTTGATTTGTGTTGTTCAGAGTTTTTGATATCCTTGTTGTTTTTGTTGATTTTAGATTTTGTGAGTGTGACTTTTTCCGAATGCTGTTGTTGTGTTTTTAAGTGCTTGGCTTTGGCTTATATTTATTTAAATTTTAAAAATAATACAAATATGGCGTTCGTATCTTTTCAAGTTATGAGAATATATATATATTGTATACATGTAAATGACCAGGTCGACACGATTTTATAAATTAGAACGATGAATATATAAGTAGTAGTAGTTGTTATTGTTGTAGTAAAAGCGATCAAAAGTATAACACGCGGGAAAGTTCGTGGATTTTGTGGGAACAAAGTTTGCTTCTAAGCAGCTTCAATAAAGAGAATATGCAAAATAACGCTGGAAAAATATTTATCGTATATATCGTCAATTGGTAAAATGGCTTGTTTTGCGAGTAAAGTCTTAATAGAATAGAAGATTGATGTACGCCTGCTGATACTTTGTAAGTTATGTCCGTTTAGCAACTATAATAACGCAGAGTAGTAGATGAAATTCCACGAGATTTAGCTGGTTGGTTGTTGGTTGGTCGGTCGTTACGTCTCAGCTCAGCGTTTGGCAATGTTCTTTTGATAAATTTGTTTTTTTGTTGTTTTTTGGTTTTAATATTTAATAATTTATGTATGTAGTTGTAGTATTCGCTTTAAAATGGCGCCTTTTTCAGACTTCTTTGCAGCCACTGGTGGCACTAAATATTTCTGCGCAAAAATCCAAAAGCGGATTTAAGCACAAATTGAAGCCTCTAATGGGTGTCGTTGAGATTTGAGATTTTTTTTTGTATTCAGCACGCAGAGTATATTCGGCTAGTTTGTCTCGATATTTTGCCTGCTCTGGGTTACGTTTTTTTTTGTTTTAGTAATTGTAAGTTACCAACAAAAAGTTGGCGTTTTACAAAGTTCTTCCTTCAATTTTTTTTTCACTTATAGTTTGAACTTATTTGTGTTTTTGTTATACATATATATGTATATATGATTTAAAATAAAATATTGTAATATATATTATTAAGTGTATAATTAAAATATTTGTTATTTTTTTGTTTAAAACTGGTTTAAATTTGCTTTTTTGTGTGCTCCTCCGTCGCACAATAAATTCCTTACTACTGCCTCCACGTCTTTTAAACGCTGTTCGACTCCGTCAATCTACGCAATTGCGCGTTAGCTTCCTGATTAATTTGTTCTACGATATTAATTATTGAATACTATTCAGATATATATGTATGTATGTGTATATAGAATTGTAGAATAATTATTATTGTTCACACATTTGTTTACGAACTGATGAAATTTTTGTTGTTTTTTTTTTTTGTTTTTGGTACTTGCAGTTGCATATGTAGTTTTGCTACACGTTGTCGTTGCTTGCTCTTCTACCAAAATACGACCCACGAGTTTCGAGTCTTTAGCGAAAAAGTTTTCAGGTCCATGCATATAATCGATGAGCCGACAAAATATGAGTGTTTGTTGTTTGGCTGCAGAATTTCTAGCAGCTGATTTTGTCGTTGCTTGAGATACTCTGGACCCTTGGTAGGTGTTCAAGTTTACGCGAAATTCGCTTTAACCGCGTTTTCCCAACTAGTTTAGACACAATTATTTCCACTGCGTAACCAAAATTACTCCTTCCTTGTATTGTATTCGTTAAGCGCTTCTAAAGAAAATCACAAATTATTCGTCTTTCTTCCTTCACTTCCTACTACTTCACACTGCCTTGTTAGCCTTTTGTATAATAAATACTCAGTTTATGTAGCCGCTTCTGCTGTTGATATAGTTGGGGTCTTTAGTGAACAGTCTATTGAACACCCAACGTCTGCAAAAATATTAGAAAAAATACAAAACTTTAGTTTTCAGCTTTCAAAGTTTCTTTTTTCCCCACTCGATATATATCAATTGTCTTTAATTTGAATTCAGCCGTGTTTTATGAAAATAATAATGGATTTTAGAAAATTTTACATTGACTACTGCGATTGCACGACATAAACGAAAACAAGTGGAATTTTTTTAGGCCACATGTAGAACATTGAAATCAAATCGTCCACACACTTGTGGCAGAGAAAATAATCGGAAATGATTTGTATAGGTTTCAACTGTCATTTTGACATTGTTTGCAATTCAAACTATAAACATGTGGGGCATTTTCGGTAATAGGAGTATATGTGAAGAATTATAACATAAAAATATTATTCAAAAACAAGTGAAAAAATTCAAGTTATGTATTAAATAAAGTCAAAATTTAACCCACTTCGTATAGTTTATTAACAAATGTAACAAATTTCGGCTGATAAAATTTTCATTTAATTTCACTTAAAATCATAAACATTTGCTTATCAATTTTAAAATCAGCATTAATACAGCAACTAAAAATAAATTTTGAATTTACAACAAACCACAAAAAAATTAATACCGCTTATTTTCTTAAAAACAGAATAAGAAACTTCAACATCTTTACAAGTGTAACGGCGCTGAATAGTCTAAAGGAAATGGAACGCTTAGACAGCACTCGAAACCTCAATTAAAAATTTGTACATATTAAACGCATGAAACTTAAGCATGTTTAATGTAAATTTAAAAATCTACACGCAACCAAAAACACGCAAACTATACATGGTATAGGGGAATGAATGGACACATGCATACATACACGTGTGTACTTATTAGCTTTACAAATATACATATAATTTGCCACTTGCTCGCGATCGCTGACTATAATAATTTCAAATTGAAGAATGTTTATGTCTTTTATTGAAAAAGCCACACGTTGCGTATGCACATAAATTAGCTCTTACGAATACAGAAGTACCGAGTTGAAACCTAAAGGAATGCACGAATTCGAAGAGAAATGTAAAATAATATAAAATTATCTTTCCAGAATGCATTATATTCTTGTTTAGCTTGGAAATAAATATATATATATATATAACATACACACCTATGTATGTACATAAGAAAATGAGCACTTTGTGGTCGATCAAGCAAAATCTTTATATATTCAATATATTCTCATATATTAAAACTACAACGGCGCGAAAGCAGAGAAGATCAGAATACGGGATTTCCCCGTATTTCATCATTATTCAATAATAATTGAAGTTACATGTCTAAAATTATATATTTTGACGAAAATTTGCACTGAGGACTATGATAAAAATTTATTACAAAAAACTATGCTTAATAAAAGCGATAATCTGTCTAATTATAAATAAAAAGTTATTTGGTGTGATATTGATGTTATATTCAAGTGGACTTAAAGTAAATTAATCCACCAACAATGAATAAGATTCTAAAAACGAGAGAACAATCAAAAAAAATGTACATACATACCTGCATTTGTACTCATACATATGTATGTATGTACATACATATCTACCTTTAATAGATTTCATAAAACTATATAACTACAAGTAGTTGAAAATAGTCTATTAAAAATTGAATTATCTCATTTATCCGTAGTCAAAAGTACATATGTATATGTGGTATATTCATAGCAGTAAAAACAATTCAGCAACTAAACTGAAACGGATGAGGTACAAAAGTAGAAATTAGGTGCAAAGGTTAAAATAATCAATGCACAACAAAGGAAGTGAATAAATAATACTATAGGGGAGAGAACAGGTTAATATTAAATTGAGGAAGCTTACAATTCACCCACAGAGTCTCGGCATAGCTAACTAGATAACATAGTGCATCTAATCAGCAAATACAGATTATTTGAAGTTCCCCCATTTTTTCATAGAAAGTAACTACGGAACTAATTATGACAAAAAAGTAGTTAAAGCAGCGTGCCCATAAAATATATGTATATATATACATATGTATGTACATCTGTACGCGACACATGTACTATGGATAAAAGCAAGCACAGGGTTGAGATGTGCACAAAAAAAGATAATAAACAATGAATGGAAATACGTATACGCAGCGTGTGCCAAGAACAGTGGACAACACTGAGTTTAAATCTAGTTAGGTATCTATTATACCTAGATATATGAATGAATTGGTTGTGTGTGATCAAATGCTTACGGCATAGTGTACAATTCAAGACAGCTGAGTGTGTGTATAGCAATAGAATATAGAGCAACAAAGGTAACGTAACCCCGAAGTCTAACTGCACAAGCAAAGATGACAGCTGAAACGGATTACACACATCATATATTGTATACGTTTTATATAATATTTGCTGTATGAAAATACATACATTGGTAAATAATGTAAGAGTTAAGCATATAAATGCACATTTCAAGTTGTTCTAATTAAGTTATTGGATTGAAAAAATTAGACATAAGCGTAAACGCAAGAGCTAATATTAGTTAACGGATGTGATATTCAAAAACAAATCTAACTAATATCTGTACATTTACATTTCTACGCAAATGCATAAATATATTTATTTAATTTATTTATTTCGCACATTGACTATCAGTTTTAAACAACGTTATAATAAAAAAACACAAGTTGTCACTTTTTTTCAGTTCGGTTCGGTAAACTTACTTTGTCGATATCATTTCATAAAAATAATTTGCACGTGCCAAATTCTGTATATAAAATAATTTGAATATTGGCATTCTTAAAGTTTAGGCAGTTACATAACAAATATTGTAGGATGTATGTTTGCAAATCTTTTAGCATTTATAGCACCACATCTATCAAAGATATCATTAGACAGCAATTTTACACTATAATGTTGTAAAATCAAGTATGCTGATCAAATATACTCTTTGTACCCACTTGCTGTCGACAAACTGCGAAAACATTTAACTTATTCCACCAAATTATACTTTTTATTAATCAATAAATATTTGAATTTTCACTAATAGCATTTTGTCCGCGCGCCACATATGTACATGTGTATACACATTACTTGCTAGAAAAGCGTGCATATTAGGTAACTTTTGCAGCTACTCAAAACACAATTGTAGACACGAAAATCTATTAATTTGAATACATACATTGCAAGAAATATAAATATATTCCTTTATTTATGTGTATGTGCGAGAATTGGTTTAAATAACATTGACAATTGGGAAAAGAAAAACGTGTTCACTCGTTGCCCAGCACATACCAGCGGTCCTGTAACCTTCAATGTTTGGTATACAAGGTGCTGGCAACTCTGGGCAGTGCAAACTTGATTGTGGTATTTGCATTTGTACTATTGAAATCTTTCAGCTCGATATTTTTGCTTTTTGGTACATACATATGTATATATATAATATATGTTTATTTGCATATATGACAGTGCATCTGCATTCTGGCCTTTTACATTTGCCATTAAAAAAAACGTTTGCATTAAAAATTGATGTCTTCTTGTATGAACTTAACATTTTTGTTGTCAACATATCAGCATTTATTTACATATTCTAATCAAATAAGTTCAAATATTTCTATGCATGTAACTGAAACGATTCCGACGACCTCCTGTCTGTTAAAACACAATCAAAATGTCGAATTATTCTGTAGACAATCAGTGCATGAAACTTTCTTACACACGTCTCTATCTTCTCCTCAATACCGTAACGACCGTTTTACACATCAGTTCGTGTTCCGGAAGGCCCTGTGGTCTGCTACCATATAGTAAGCAAGCCCACCACCACCCAACACGTACTACTACGGCACGCGCACAAATACATGCACAAAAACCAAAGCCCTCGTGCCCCTTGTGAAACAGCAATCAGAACATTTATACTCTAACAATGCTCATGTGTCCTTGAAAGTATTTCTCCTTTTTATGCTCATCAGAAATGTCCTTCATCTTTAAAATTCTATTTAAACACTATTTTCTTACAATTTGCCAAGCGAAAAGCAAATTTTTCTATGTTTTACACTTTTTTCACGCTATTTCTAGATTTTTTCGCAACGACCCCCTTCGCAACCCAGCCGCAAAAAGAACTTTTCGTACCCATATACAGACTTTTCACACAAGTTTTTTCAAGTTGAAAATGCACAAATCTTATAAGTATTTCGTTAAACATCCAAACTCTGCAGATTGGACACATTATTGACTGCAAATTTATGCAAAATTTACTAAATTTTAACACTCACCTTTGCCATCACAAGATTTTTTCACTATTAATGGAATGGCGCAGGCTGCAAAGTAAAACTGTGTGCGGTGTGAAAAAATTTCACGAGCATTTTGCGCCGGTTCAGTAGGGGGCATTGTTAATTCCATTTCGGCATTATTCACTGACAGCCGTCAGAACACGGAGCTGCCATTAAAATATGCACAACAAAATGTTGTTGGAAGCTGGGATTAAACCAGTTGCAAATTCTATAATCATCAAATAAACTGAGCTTTAAAAATTAAACTTCGTTTTAATTTTAACTCAGTAATTACTTTAATTTAGATTCAATCATTTAAATTGGCCAACTGTTCTTCGGTGTTGCCATTACTTGCATTTTGATGTGGAGACATTGGATAATTAGGAATTGGTAATACGGCAACGAGTGGGGCATTAATGCGAAACAGAGAGTGGAGGAATAGAGAAATTGCCAATTTGAAAATAAAATGTAGAGTTAATTAACTTGGCGGTGTAAACAAGCGCAAATCGGTTATAAATGATATAAATAATAACATCAAATAAACATGTCTCAAGCTAATTCCATGAAGCAAATAGGCTCCCGTGTGGTAGGTGGTTCGGTGAAGCGTATGGAATGGAGCAACAAAATGGATTTAATTGCCTATGGCACTGACAGAGGTATGAAAAAAGTGCTTATGAATAAACAAGATAGTAAAAAGTATACATATTTAATATAATATCATACATTTCACAGGTGAAGTTATAATACAGCGCTTGAGTTGGCAAAAGATAGTCACATTTCCCTCACTAGGAGAAGACGTCGCAGTACGTTCACTCGGCTGGCAATTGGATGAAACTGTTTTAGCTGTCGGTGAGTCTTTTCACTAATCTGTTATTCTTCAATCACAAAGCACCTGTCATGGCAGGGTACAGCAATGGACGTGTAACGCTGCTTGACGCTGAGCGCGAGGACCAAATATCTGTGTTAAACTTTGAGGAGGATATCAAGCGTGTGTATTTCAGCAAATCTATAAAAACATCTGATTACCGCAGCACTTACCGTAATCGTACGGAGGTTTGATTTATGAGATATTTTCTGTACCTTAAGCTCCTATTTAATACCATCTATCATTAGCACACCTTTGATTTTTTCCTACCGCCATTGCCACCCTTAAGTGGCATTGGCTCCTCCACCAAAATGGCAGAAGAGCAAAGATCCTTTGCTAAAGGTTCACCGTGCTTTCTTGTTGTTATTACGGTTACCGGAAAAGTGCATCTGTTATTGCTCGGTGCATTACGCGCCGGTCAAATTGACTTACGACAGCATGTGTTACATCCGGATGAATTCGCAGTGCACGATGTGCGTTTAAGTGGCGATTTTAATGCCATATATGCTTTGGTATCCGACGGTTCAGAACTTAAGGTACTACATTTTCACAACTCCGTGCTGCAGAAGTACATCTCACCCATGCTACATTTAGCAGTACACTGCGCCAATGTACTAGAGACTAAGAAGTACGTATAATCGTTACCTAAATTTAATTTTAATTTTTTTGCATAACTTTAAATTATAATTAACTATTTAAGTTATGTAAATGAAACAATACAGTGCATTATGGAAGCATGGGAAACAGTGCTATTAGAAATGGATAATAAGCTCACTAAATACGCGAATCAACAGCCGGAAGGTTCGCTGTCCGCAGACTTTTTGGAATTACTTGTGTTTGGCTATGCCACACATGAAATTGAGGACTTCCTAAGGGAGTGAGTATAGTTTATACATATTTACCAAATTTTATATGTATATATATGTATATATATGTGTTTATAATTTAGTGATTTAACTGAGAAGGGTCTCAAGAAGTTGGCGAATTCGGTTGATCTCAGCTATTCGACTGTGGAAAGTCTCATCACTAAGCAATTACAAAGCAGCGGTGTTAACATGTTCTACTTTCTCAACTCATTGAAAGGTCTTAGCCGCATTACTCATTTCTTTGAGGTATTGGTATGTTTTGTATAAAAAAGAAAAATATAAAGTTTTCACTAAATTGCAGCCTTTACTCTCATGCGATGCCACACAAGAGGCGCTGTGTGCATGCGGCGCGTTTCTGATGAAAATACTAGAAGTGCAGCAAGTAATCGATCAGTGCGTGAACGACATGAAATTGTTTTTCTCATGGCTCTGTATAGTAATTTTGCGTCTACATCAACAAGACATACCCGAAGAAATGTCGCAAATCACGCCGGAAGACACTATATATTTGGCAGAATATTTGAACAGCTTTGAGGATAGTGTTGTGGAGAATGGTATGTATTTATTTACATATATGTGTATGTATTTTTATATTGTTTTATTAATTAATGCATTTGCAGAGGATGGTACTGTAACAAAGCGTAAATTTAATTTGGAAAAGGTGGGTCAGTATCTGGAGAGTCGCAACTTGCAGCAAATCGTCAAATCAGATCCACATCATCTATGGCATCGTTTGTTGGACGAAAATGAATGTTTACGTAATTGTTCCCTGCTATTTCCACACCAAAAGGAAACTTCACTAATACAGGAACGTGACAATTTAATGTCAGCTGTTGACAGCGTTTTCAAACGCCCCAATGAGAGTATTAGTGTTAGTTTTATGCTGGATGCTAGCATTATTTGTGCTACGTTGCCCGCATCAAGCGGCGATGCTGACCAAGCCTTGGTGCATAGTTCGTTTTTTGTGAATGAAGAGGCAAATACGGATTTGTTAGTAACAACAATTAACTCTCATGAAACGCTCTTACTCGAATTCAATAAACAATTTACGCTGCTTCGATGTGTACGTTTGAATTTACAACCGGGACCATTTACCAGCGAGGCACTGCGTGAGGATGTCTTCAGTACATTGCGATTTGTAGATTTAGACTTTTACAATGAGAGCGTACTCTCGATTTTGCTACATAGTAGCGCACAAAATGTGGACAAGCAGAGCTTTTTCTTACAACTCACCCTGGAAGCTACCAAGGGGAAGCAGTCCCAGCATTTAATGCCGAATAATATTAACTTGTTGGACGTGGCTGTACCGTGTCACGTACCAGATCTATTGGAGGGTAACAGCTTGAAACCGCTTGAGGGTGTGTGCACACATTTGGCGGTGTCGGGCAGTAGGAAGGTGAGTTAACTGAACTGCTAATATTGTCAAAAAGTTATCATTGAAATAAAAAACAATATTTTTTTTATAATAAGTAAAATAAAAAGCCAATAAAGTAAAATGAAAACAAAATGAAATAGAAAAAAATAC